CCAATATCTAAAATCTAAATACATACACAGTTAGATTCAGCATATCAAAGAACCCCAAGAATTCAATTTTTGTTAAACTAAGTTTCATTTTGGACCCTTTGGACCCTAATGTAGACTAATTTGAACAAGAGGCTGTCAGAGAGACAGCAAACTGGATTTTCCTGCAGAGGTCGAACCCTGAACAGTTGAGCAAGTATGGACACTACATTTAAACTTAAAACAGCTCTGAATTTGGATTGTGATTGAATATTTGACACATCATAGGTTTGTGACACAAAATGAATGTAGTCAAAGAACTGATATATTTGAAATTAGACATTTAAATACCTATGGTTTTAAATCTATCCAACGATATAAATTTCATATTTTACAATTTTTTTTTAATCAGGGCCTTTTTTATTCAAAAATCGAGATGCGATCATTTTCTGAAGTTGACTAGAAATAATCTAAGTCAAACCAGGTAAATATAATATTCATGGATAAATAATTAACACATGACAATGTGATAACTTCTGTTATTCTCAGTAGACTGAGTTGTTTGTGTTTTTTTTTCTTTGACAGTTTAATAGCCTCTTTCTTTTCAAGTTTACTTTATAAATTGTAAATTTCAATGCACAAAAGTTTCAAATGAGAAAAAAAAAAAAATTCTCCAAGATAAACCAATTGCCAAAGTCTTAAAAGAATAAGACAAGGGCAGCATATGTGCCAGTGTGGACTATATACGAACATATTTGTATATAGTAATGCTAATTTAAAGATTACAAAACGGCAATCGCTTAAAATTGAAATAAATTGAACAAAAATATTTTAACAGTTTAAGAAACAAAATTTTAGATACATACATGTACATGTGAATTTACTAGTCTATTGCTTGTTTGATGCACATTCTCCTTTTATACACTTAACTTTTAGAAAAATAAATCGCATTGAACAAAATAAATATTATTTTTAATTTGTCTCCGTCCTTTCAAAAGTTTCTATCGTGAAAAAAATTTTAATTTTGCAATTGAACATTTATGTAAAATTTTTATTAAAAAGGAAACTTATTTTAATTATTTTTCTGTTAATCTGTTAATGTAAAGTTTACGGAGAGCTGTCTCATTGGCACTCATACCACATCTTCTTGCATTTATATTGTACATGTAGTTGCAGAATTATAAATTTTTAATTTATCAAATGAATAAGATAATTGGAATCGTTAAAATTCTGAATTATACTTGAAAACAGATGCCTGCGACCCCTGTTGTTTCGATTAGCATGTTTTCTAAAGATATCCGCGTGAAGTTCACAAATTTCAACATGTATTTGGTCACCTGGTGTGAATTTCAGATAAAATTGTCAAGTTCAAATCCGTGGTTAAAACTTTCCTTTACATATCAGTAATATTATTATTATCCGGGCAGGGTACTCCCCCCCACCCCTTTTTTTTTTATTATACTCGGAACATTATTATATACACTTTTTCTGTGGGACTTTCTTTATGTTTTTAGGCGGCATGTGTGAGCCAACTTAACCCTTGTGCGGAAGTTCTTGATTTTGCGCACCACCACTTAATTTGGGTCTCAAAGTTAGATGTTGTTGCTCTTTGTAAATATAAACCTTTACTATCTGAAATGACCACGGGGGTCAATTTTCTTTTTCCCGTAGGAAGTTCAAATGGCTTGCTCAAATATTTCAATAGTTTTTGCTCAGTCATTAATTAATCTTTGGTGTTATTGTAGTGCTTAAATGTCAATCTCAAGGGATAACTTAAATGTTTTCTGGAAATTCTAAGATGGCTGCTGAAAATGGCTGCCGACAACGATCACTCACACATGTTCCATGATAAAACTATCGGGGTAAAAAATATTTACAGTCATAAAAGGTAAAAGAAAAAGTTTGTGCGTTGGTAATTATATACACTGGTACTTAAAAGGAAGTGTGTAAATGTTAAAAATGTTCGTGATAAAACAATACAATAGGATAAAATGCGCTCCCACAATTTTCACATCCACTCTCCTTGCTGCCTCGATTTCCCATATATATGTTTTCTAACGTGTGGAACATGCAAGTTGCAATATGTTGGTGAAACAGAAACACCATTTAACATCCGACTAAATAACCATCGGTCATTTTATACAAAAGAAAGAAACTGCCCAATCACAAGACATCTTTTAAGAGCAGGACATGATTTTGAAAACGTCACATTTCAAATCATTGAGAAAAACCAAAATTGGGATACACAATGAAGACAAAAGAGAGAGATATTTTGGATGCACCAGTTACGAACTCTTGAACCTGATTTTACATATTTATTGATGTTCGATAAATTGTATGAATTTCTATAAATTGTATGAATTGCATTATTAGCGGCCATGCTCTGTCGATTGCGTTTATAATTTCCGTATGATGTAGATTGGTATGCATACTAGAAATGTCAAATGAACTCATTAATATATCAGGAGAGGCTCTTATTTTTTCCAATTTGTTTATAAAAGAAGTTGTATCTTGTGTGTATGTCCAAAATTGGTTGACAACTGGTTTAATAAAATAATCGATATATTGTGCAATTCTTTCTAAGGGGCTATTACATAAAGATACAATGGGTCTTCCTGGAACGTCTATATTCAGTAAACAATTCTTATCAACTTTGATCTTTTCTCTATTATTTTGTTTAATTTTATGAAGTTTTGGGAGGAAGTATAGTCTACCCAATCTTCTTTCATCGTCATTTTTTAGGAACTTTAGTGTGACATCATCAATGTAAGAGTTCTTGTGTAAACGAGAAATGATTGTGTTGATACTGTTCACGATCTCCGTTGTGTGAGATTCATTAATTGTTTCATAGTGTATATTGTCATTTAGCTGATTCATTGCCATTTTTATATAGAGGTCTTTGTCAAGAACAACTGTTGATGAGTTTTTATCTGCCTTCTTTACTATAATACGATCATTTTTACGTAAGGATTGCAGTGCCATTCTTTCATTTTTTGATAGGTTGTCCTTAAATGTATTTAATTGAATTTTCTCAAGTTCAATTCTTGTTGAAAATAAGTAGTTTTCAATTGCATTATTTGCCCAGCTTGGTTTATACCCACTTTTTAAAAGAAATGGATGACGATTGTATGTGTTAGACCCGTCATCAAAGTGATATTTACATCTCATTTTACGGGCTAGTTCGTTGAAGTCATTTATGAGAGTTTTCTTTGCATTTTGAAGTCTTGGACATCCCGGTGCCTCCCAAAAAGGATATGTTAGAATTACTGAAAATTGCCCTTGGAAACAATGAATTTGAATTCAACGGGCAGATTTTTAAACAGAAAGTTGGAGTACCGATGGGGTCACCAATGTCTCCTAGTTTAACTGATATTAGAATATATGAAATCGTTTCTGAAATATTAAAACGGTTCTCACAATCGTCCGAAATTTCTCTTCTATCTGTCTACAGAGATGACGGTTTTTTATTATTCAAAGGAAGTGAACAAGCGCTTATTGAATTTTACCAGATTGCAAATAGTATTCATCCATTGTTAAAATTCACATATGAAATTTCTAATAGTCAAATACAATTTTTGGACGTAACAATATTTAAAGGAGATAGATTTAAAACGGAACAAATATTAGATATCAAATTATATCGCAAACCTACGGATAACTTCCAATATTTAGATAAATCATCAGCTCATCCCGCCTCTGTATTTAAGGGATTTATAATTGGCGAAGTTACACGGTTCATTCGATCGTGTAATAACAAAGATGACCTCGACACACAGATCAAACTATTTAAACACAAGCTTATACTCAGGGGACACAAGGAAAATGAAATTAATCCACTAGTTAATAAAGCACTACGAAAAAGAAGGCAAAACACATTATGTTATAAAACAAAAAACAAACAGAAAAGTCCACCACTAGTCATAGCAACGAAATTTAATCCTTTATTTAAGCAGTTGGGAAGACGAATAAGAAAACACTGGCATTTGATTGAAGACGACGAGACCGCTCAACATTTATTTCCCAGACCGCCTATCATTGCTTATCGTAAACACAAGAATGTGAAGGAGTACTTGACCTCGGCAAAATTATAATGTAATTAGATAAAGAATGGACATTAAACTATAAGTGTATTACAGATTCACCAGGTGTAGTGCCCCAAAATGTAACTGCATTTGATACGTTACACGATCGAAACATATTGATAACAATTAAAAAAGTAATTAAAACCAAATGTTATAGTAAATAAAAATAAATTAGGCCAGGGCACCTGACGAGGATGAACAGCCTTGGTCGAACTTGACCTAAATGATATCCGAAACACCAGGTGTAATATCATCAAATTAAAGAAATTCATAGACGACCAGTCGATTACCACAGATCAGTTACGTTGGGAAAATCCTTTCAAATAAATAGATGTGTAAAAGTTTATAATTAACCACAGAACAATCTACCGAGAAAAGGTCAAATCAGGGTTTAACAGTTAAAGATAATATATATAATTAAAGTAAATATATATAAGCTAAACATGCTATATATATGAATCACCAAATCATGCATAAACAGAACAATAACAGAATAAAACTGTAATTGAAGACAAACATGTAAATGCATATAAAATTGCATATAAAGTATACACAGCGATACATGGAAAATCATTATAGAAACTCGATACAGACAAGAAATAAAATCTCCTATAGACAATGGTATTAGTAAGTTTTGCTGGGATTGGTTCATGGACACGACTATTTATAAAATATAAGCTGTTTTGTGCTGTATTGCCATTAAGCACAGAAAAGGTAGAAAGGTGAAACTTGTAAAGTGTGTCAGACCATAGGAACAGAATGAAGCAGGACATTTTTCAAAAAATACTGCATATAAAGCTTAACTGTGCCAAGCAATGATTTAAAACTTGTGTGACAAGCTGCTTGATAAGTTTTCAGCCTAAAAAGTAGAAAGATAGTTTTTCTCTGGGCTAATGATGTTGTTCTTGTATATATATAACCAGTGATTCAATGAACAAACAATGTTTGATTATAATCTTTATTAAAACATGCCCTTTTCATATTATCATATCACGCGTTAAATGCCCTTTTTCAGGATTGGCACCCTGCCCTTTTGAAATCCTAGCTGGAACACTGTAAAAGTGTTCTTTATAAAGAAAACGGTTCTTTAGAAATCTTCATGGAATGGATACTCTTTGTGTTCACTTGCCCTGCAATAAAATATGATAAGATAGTTGGATAGTATATGCGAATGACAATAATAGAACCACGTGACTGATTTTACTTAAAGATAATATAAAAAGGATCACTTCCAACGGAGTTCTTTTGAATTTTGAAAGAATGCTTAAACACTAATTCTAATTTAAATATTAAAAGAGAAATTGGTAGGATAATTACAATTCGGTGGCTCTGGTAGCGGAATTGGTAGGATTTACAATTCTATAGCTCTGGTAGTATGGAATTGGTAGGATATTTGCAATTCGATGGCTCTGGTAGCATGGAATTGGTGACTAATTGTATCAAGGGAATAATAACAAAGGAACAAAATCCTACTTCGCTAAGGTTTGATTTAAAAATAATTATCTTTTCATACTGATTTATATACCAAATAGATATAAGTTAGAAGATGTGGTATGAGTGCCAATGAGACAACTCTCCATCCAAGTCAAAATTTATAAAAGTAGACCATTATAGGTCACAGTACGGTCTTCAACACGGAGCCTTGGCTCACACCGAACAGTAAGCTATAAAGGGCCCCAAAAATTACTAGTGTAAAACCATTCAAACGGGAAAACCAACGGTCTAATCTATATAAAAAAACGAGAAACGAGAAACACTTATGAACCACATCAACAAACGACAACTACTGAACATCAGATTCCTGACTTAGGACAGGTGCAAACAAATGCAGCGGGTTTAAACGTTTTAATGGTACCAAACCTTCACCCTTTTTTTGAAACAATATTGTAACATCACAACATAGAAAGACACACTATAAAATATCAACTGAAATAGCTTAACTCAATCAATGGACATATTAACACCATTGAACATACACTGAACAAATAAATTTGACCTATGATACAATGTAAATACAAAATAAATAAACTAAGGGAAGAATAATAAAAGTAACATGTTTTATCGGTATGAAATGTTAAACAATTAAAGAAAAACAATATGCTCGAACAGAAATATCAGCCATTTGCAATAACACAGGTAAATGAAAATAGTTTTGTTGTTAGGTATACGTGTACAGTTCCAATAGAGAAAGGAAATATTTTTACAAAATAAATAATTTTGATGTTCATAGTACGAAGTGAAAATTTAAAGTAATATCAAACACTTATCAAAGCTGGTATATAGACCAGATATAACCCTGAATAACATTAAATACAAAAAAGCAATACTATTAGTATCAACAGGTCAAATAAACAAGAAAGTACGATTTGAGAGTACTCGCAGTTACTGACAGCTAGTTAAAATCCAAAACAATTAATAATAAAAAATCATGCATCAGAGACTAAAATCAACTAAAACACATCCCAGGGATTTAGTATTTTAACGTCATGGACAGTCAAAGAAGACATGACTAGTGCAATGCCAAAAATAAATGTATCGACAGACAGTAGGATAGTTAGGAGTTTAACCTTTTTATAGATCAAAACGAACGTGGGTGTGTCTTTATACATCCCGTTTGAAAAGAATACAAATTTAGTTATGTTTTAATTTGCTGATGACAAAAATATAAATATAAATGCATTTATATACTACTTCAGCAAAGCCAAAAAAGAGAAATTGTCAATGACACCTAACTGCAAAATAAGCAAAGTATATACCTTCAGGAAACAAAGAAAAAATTACTTTAATATATTTTGTATTTTGTACTTGTATTTACAAGGGACGAATGAGAACTTACCATATGATATGGACGTCTGACCATCTGATGACCTCTAGTTATGTTTGGAATGCTATCCTTTGTGGCTTTGTTAATTATTTTGTGTGATTGTTTATAAAATCACCCGAAGGAATTGTTGTTTTAATTGCAACAAGAAGAATCAATTGCTGCTGTCTCTCAAAAAAAAACATTATTAAATTTCGGATTTTTTATTTCAAAATTTTAGAGGATAATGTATAAAAAAATAAAAAATACAAAGAAAACACTGTTTTCATAATGAAAATAAATATTGAACTTTACCACTTCTCTATCCATATTCGGGGATATTTATCTAATGCCCATATTTGTTCCATCTCGTCTGGTGACAAGGAAAAACTGAACACCTGAAGAAGATTATTTTAAAATTATTTTACCTTTCATATTTCTTAAAACAATGTTTTTTGTGTTGTTTTTTTTTTTTTTTTTTTTTTTTTTTTTTCTGCTGTATCGTTCATCATATAATTATTTTGAATTCTGACTATGAACCTGGTAGTGCATTTTTAAGAAGGAAATATATATGTGCAATGCATTTTGTATATGTTCTGATCTCTGTGGTAAGTTTAGAGACAAATGTAAACAAGAAACTTTGAACTCGGGAGAAAATACTGACATTTCCTAAAAACCATCTTCACTACATTTAGAAGAAATTATTACTATATAGATGCTTCAATCATAAAAAAATAACTGAAAAAGTATATAAAAACTTTTGAATATAAAACATCTATTTGAATAACGATTTGTTTGCTAAACTTTGATTTTATAATCTTTAAAGATTGTTATACGATTGCAGAACTCAATCTGTAAATGCAATATAAATGTGTGAGCATTTATTTTGGCAGAGAATTTTTTATTAAGGATTCACTCAAATATATTTTAATCATAGTTTAACACATCCTTTGAGTCCCATATTTAAATCCTTTTTTTGTAAATAATCGACTCACATCAAAATTCTCCTTGATTCTAGAAGGCGTTACAGATTTTGGAATTACAATGATATTGCGCTGCAATATAAATCTCAAAACTACCTGAAAAAAAAGGCAACTAATATTGAAACTGCTTATTAAATCTTTTTTAATGAAGATGACTTTAAAATTTAACATACTTGTCTATCTAAACAATTACAATGTATAATCGCACGCGGAAGCGTACAAGTCCCACCTCGAGTTTTGAATGTCCAGGATTCGATCCCCGGCTGGAAAAACCAACGGTTCCACCGTACGTCTGACATTTCAGAGTAGAGCAGACTGGTCGACTCAGAGTCAGGATAATGTGTCCAGGAATGGGTGACATGTCTTCATTTAAAATTGAGAATGGAAATGGGGAATGTGTCAAAGAGACGCCAATCAGACCAAAGAGCAGAAAACAGCCAAAAGCCACCAATAGGTCTTCAACACAGTGAGAAAATCCCGCACCCGAAGGCAGGCTTCAGCTGGCCCCTAAACAAAAATGTGTACTAGTTTAATGAAAACGGACGTCACTCTAAACTCCAAAATTTAAAAATGAACTAAAATTAAAAAATATACAATACTAACAAAGGCCAAAGGCTCCTGACTTGGGACAGGCGCAAAAATGAGGCGGGGTTAAACATGTTTTGTGAGATCTCACTTTGAATTGTTACCTTGTGAGCTATCACAATTGCAACTCGGTTCAGCCTACTGTTACATGTAGTATAGAAAGGAGTTCATATTCGTATCACATCAGCACGTTCGTGTCCTGATATGCATTTTATATGTGCCACTGAACGTCAAACACCAATCCAAACTTTCATGGATGTATTACACAAAAAATAAACAGTTTAAGCGTCTGGCGTACAAAATTTTTATCTTTGTATTTATGGTAAGTTTGTTTACCGAATGCATAAACAATCACAAAACTAATGTTTGTAATCCAAAGCTGGCAATATGTCGTACTGTTATACAACTGTCAAGTGTTAGGGGAGGATTGAGCGCTCACAAACTTGCTTAACCCCAACACATTCTGTAAGTGCACGTTACAAGTTAGATGCATATACTTCAGTGGCTGTCGCTAGTCGCTGTCTGTAATATTTAGTTGTTCACTTATTATTTTTAGCAAACATCATGCTGTTTGTGTTTGAATTGTTTCTTATTTTGTTATACCGGAACCTTTTATACATTTCACTATTCGGTATGGGTGTTGCATGTGTTCATTGATGAAGGCCGTATATATGTGTGACTGTCCTATAGTTGCTGATGTTCTCATCCTTTGGTCTTCGTTGGATAGTTGTCTCATAGGAAAATTGGCAATCATACCACATCTCCTTATTTACATAAGACAGGTTTAGCCTTTTTTTGTGCTCTCAAACGTTTTGTATTTATAATTGTCCGAATGCTGGCATGGAGCATATCTGATGAAGGAAGGAATTCTATAAATACGCTTCTTGTTCTTAGATTTTATATAGATTCTTTGGTAATTTTTAGAGATATCTCTTATTTGTAATTTATACTCTATATATTTTGTATCTCCTTTAACCAGACAGGTATTCCAAACACCATACTAGGTTTTAATGTGTACATATTACATTCAGAAAATGTGATACCATGGCTGTTTTTACCTCATGAATCACCATACGTAAATTTTAGAATTAGCAGTACTTAAATTAAAGCAATTTTATATAGTATTGCTATAGCTGTTTGAACCATTTAGCTAATATTGCATTTTTTTATCAATAAATTCTCTCCGCTCCAATTTAGAATTTCTTTTACCTGTGGTATGGTTTTGCCTTTCTTTTGAGCAATATCCTTAAGTACAGGTTCGTCAAATATACTTGGTTCTTTCCCCTTTCGCCTATTATAATATAAACTTATAAATGTTAAGCTTCTGCAATCTTTTAATTTTAAACGGGGTTTTGATAATTGATTAATTGGTGTTTAACGGCTCTTTCAGCACTATTGTGCTATTTCGTAGCGATCAGTTTTTATTGGTAGTGCAAGCCGGAGTGCTATGAGAGAGGGAAACTGACAGTCAAAGTCAATTAAGATTGGAGTCGAGCGCACCTGTCACGAGCGGGTTTTAATGATATATATGTAACCACTGAGTTTTTACAATGGAGAGGTCATAATTTAATTATGACCCGTACTATATGTAAATGTGTTTGCATTATTATTATTTCACTTCAAAGCATAAAGACTTTATAAGTTTTTAAACCAATTAATCATAAACGTTCAACGTCATTCATAAAAGCTATTTGCAAAAATTGTTCTGTTATAGATTGACGGAAAATCTACCAAACGATAGTTGAAAGCAGAGGTAATGTTCTTCTAAGTTATCTGTCAATATCTTATTGCAGTTCTATTATGCTATCATAGAAAACAGTACACATGGACCGTTATAACCACAAAGGACTGTCCGGGTTTGCTAGAGGTGCATAAGCCGTCACTGTAATGCCTTTTGACAAGCAGAAATTCGCAAGCTTCCTATTTGAGAAATAAGGATGTATTTCCACCTACAAATACAAAATATTTAAATAAAAATAATAAACAATGCTATTCGATATTTCTTGTTGTACTGTAGACCGAATTCTTTTGTCTATAACAAATAGAAAAACGCAAAAATAGTAAAAAGCAAATGAAGATTAGGAAATATATGCTATATAGAGACAGAAGAATTCGGTCTAGTTGTACTGTTATTCTTGGCAAATAAAAAAAAGACCTTTACTGCCTTAATCTTCTATATTTCATCATTCTAAAAATTCTTTTTTAGAAGCAGCTTACCCCAAAATCGGGACTTGTATATTTTTAATGAAAAAGGCCAACATTTTAAGACCGATATGTCATGTTACCTGCAGATTACATGGTTTTATCCTGGCACTTTGTAGTATACGTTCTACCTGTGACTTGTTAAAGTTAGACAACCCTATATTCTCTGCCATGCCAGCATCAACTAATTCTTCCATACCCTGCAAGTTCACAAGTTCACAGGTAGTGATGATATAAGAATTAAGAAATGTAAAAAAATAGAAAAAAGATCGAAGTTGTATGTACCATAAAGCGAAAATGAAATTGTAAATATAAATGAATTTCAAATGTATACTTTGTCATTTGCAAGAATAATCCTCGATATTTGAATTATTTTTAAAAGCGTTAAAAGATATTTTATATACTAATATATATAGGAGTGATGATTAAAATATATCTATGACCGTAAGATATGAAAATAAAAGTATGTGAAATGTGTATATCGATTCATCGCAAAAGATTGAAAAAGATATAAAACATGTTCTTCTTCATAAGATTTTTTCCAAACAAGAGAAAATGGGCTTTAAAAAATTATTTCCACTTTTTTAATTCTTCAATGAGTATCATGTAAAAAAAATGGTTTTTTGTTTTAAAAAGATGAAGATATTTCTATGATAAATCATTCTAAATCAATATATCGGATTGTTTCTTTCACGTTATATGATAGCTGATTCTTTGATTTTAGTAGAGAAAGATATTTCTATGATAAAGTATATTTCATAAGTATAATTCCAAAATATCAGAATCATAAATCATCATCGTTATGTCTGAGTGTCTTAGAAATGTATGCAAAGTGAACCATACCTTCCATGTATCTATTATGTCGTGATTCGCAAACATTATCTGGTCATTTTTATCTTTGGGAAACAAATCATCTCCGTCCTACAATGAAGAAAAAAAATCACCAAAGATACCAGACTTATATTATAAAAATTAATTGATTTATCATTAAAAATATACTTTGATGCAATAAATGATTTAATTCATAATTTAGCGATGTAAATCTGTACTGGTAAGTACAAAAATAAGTAAACTCAAATGTACAAATCAACGCCTGGTGTACCGAGAAGAAAACATAATGAGTTTTTTTTAGAAAAAAACTAACCATACAAATTTAATATTTGACAGTAACATATAATTGTATATATTTATATAGCACTATTTATTGCATGTAGTTGATAAACACCAACCCATCATTACTTCAGAAAAAAATAGAAGGCGGAAGATACCAAAGTGACAATCAAAATTCATTATTCAAAGAGAGACCGACAGCACCATGGGGAAAACAATAATCGTCGTGAAAACAAACAATAGTCTAAAAATACTACAAAGAATGACTGAGCAACAAGAACCATACCGAAAAACCGGGGGCGATATCTGGTTGTCCAGAAGGGTAACAATGTAACAATGCATTCAAAACTAGTTCGGACGCAGAGATAAGATCTAGAGCTTGACATATAGTATGGTCAGTTTTCTTTCAGCGAAGACTAATATTCAAGTCTAAATGCCATGTTAGTTTCATATCTCATCGACATTTACTCTTTTACTCTCATGGAAACTCAATTAACATTCATATTTACGGTCATGTTTCTCTCTCCAATATATTTTATTTTAAAGTATTTAGAATTACAAATAAAAAAAAACTTTTCTTGATTGCTGTTCTTCGTATTTGTAATTTTTTGTTGTTGTTTGTTTTATATTTGAAAACACTGTTTATTCGTATGTGTAAAAAAAGAGGGACGAAAGATACCAGAGGGACAGTCAAACTCATAGATCGAAAACAAACTGACAACGCCATGGCCAAAAATAAAAAGACAAACAGACAAATAATAGTACAGATGACACAACATAGAAAACCAAAGACTAAGAAACACGAACCCCACCAAAAACTGGGGGTGATCTCAGGTGCTCCGGAAGTGTAAGCAGATCCTGCTCCACATGTGGCACCCGTCGTGTTGCTTATGTTATTACAAATCCGGTAAATAGTCTAACTCGGTAAATCACATTCGTGAAAAGGGCGGGTATTATAGTTACGACATAAGTAACTGTGTTTGTATTTGTATTTCACCTTTGCTTTTTTCTATGTTATAACATTCATTAAGTGGGTTTATTTTTTCATCTATTTTTAGTAACTATGACCAAGTCCTAGATTGCACCAACGGCCTTTTTTGGGGACTTGCTGGTGCCTTTGGATGTCAAAGCGCAGTCCTTCCAGAAAAGTTGGAAAGCTGGCACTGCCAACTGATGCCCCTATTTTCATATTTATGGAGAGAAAACAGTTTTATTGGAATGGTTCAAAATACAAATATGCTTGGAGGGACAAATAAAACATGTTCTATAAAGTTTTCAATATGAATGGTAAAAAAATCAATCTTTTTTGTAAAAGTGACCCTGATCGTCGACCGGATGACCACAGGCGTCCTCTGTTTTCCTGTATCTTCAGTCTGTACAAATTTCATTATACATAATCAAGGGAAACTCAAGTTATCATCTATAAACCGTTTTCCCAAAAAAAAAAATATTCGTAACAGTGACTTTGACTTCTGACCTATTGACATCAACATACATCCTTCTTCTCCTTCCCTATATCTTGCATTTGTATAAGTTTCCAAACCTAAGACACAGTAACAGTAATAACAACATGTATCTCTCTTTATATGCGAACTTATAGCAAAGTCATTTATTAAGTGTTATTTTCATTTGAAATCCAAAATAAAGTATATCTTCAAAAATCACGGACAGACAAACTTCGGACCGTGCACGTGGCATGTAATAACATATTGCATTCTAGTGGAATCAGGAATCGAAATCCAAGAACCAATACACGAACGCAATAAAGAGGAAATCCGACATAACTTCTAAAGAAAAAAGTAAAAAAAAACACACACACCATCACCACACACACACACACATATATATATACAACATTGTTGTGCTGGGTACAATCATTAAGCCTAGTCTAGACTAGTCACTTTTTTTAGAACCACAACCTTTTTTTACTAACAGTGGAAACTGTTAAACCCACAAATTATGTTTAAAGCATTTCAATCCTTACCTTAAGTGAAATAGGCCAGTGAATGACCAGCAGCTGGACACAGTTCACTTTAAGATTATCCAACGATTTCTGGAAATTTTCCTTTATATGCCGTGGATTATGATGTGTGTTCCATAGCTGAAAAGTTTTCGTCCAGTGGAAAGTTATATGAAATAAATAATGTTAACAGTTCTAATAAATGTATCGGGAGCATTTGAAGACTGTAGTACCCGCAAGCTTGGTGCTTGAAAATTGGTAGATTTCGTCGGAAATGTATTATTTTGGACTATTAGAAACAATCTAAAAATGTGTGCATGAAACGGTTTTTTATACCGTATATATTTCTTTTCTCAATACATCATTTATGTTTCGGTTGTTTAAATCCGTATTAAAAAATAATATAACCTTCTAAATAATTACAAGAGATCATCACATCTTTTTTTTTTTTATTTTGAAAGAAAATATGACAAAAGAGGCGAAAGATACCAAGGTGACAAGAATAACTGACAAAGTCATGGCTACTGTCCTACCTTAGTCGTGATAAACATTTCTTTTTTATCTTTAATTGTACCGTCATCTAACTTGGCCTGTATACCATCTCCTACTTCCTTTTCGTTTTCATATGCATAGGCACAATCAACACTCCTGTACCCGATATCTATGGCATACTTCACTGCTTTCCTGACTGAACCAGGTCCACCCTGATAGAAAGTTAAAAAAACAAAAAAACATTAAACGCTACATTCAGTTTTTATTGTGCATTTGTCTTAAAAATTATAATTATTTAAAAGTAAACGTTATAATTTTGCAAAAATGTATTTGGTGAATTTGCAAGTGATTAACGTCTCCGAGGAGACGTTATTAAGAGTTGAACGATGGACAGTCTGCGGGCTGAATGCTTCTTACTATCTGATTGGAAGATATTGCTGACTCTATCCAGGAACGTATGTACTGTTCCCAGCTCTATTAAAGCTAACTTGTGTTGATTGGTTGGGACAAAACCTAGTAAATGTCTTTTGATCCCGTAAAGTGTCGGAATTGAACTCTCTATTTTAGCAATTAGATTTTGCCTGGTTACCAATCATGCAAATCGGTACACAGGTAACACTTATCTATAAATAGCCGAAACTCCTGAAATATTGTAAACACACGTGTGATTATTTAACGTTCTATCCAGTCGCTCACTGTTACGTACATCTTGTACACGAAACCATACTTATGAAAACATCGTGCTTTTTTCTTAGCCTAGATTATAAATATTTATACTTAGTAAGATAATCCAAAAGCAATAATAAAAAAAATGACTAAAAGAGAGATATTTTCGATTAAATATTAATTTGAACAGGAATTTTTATCTCGGAAAGGAGGGGGGGACCTTTTTATGGTAAAAGCACATATATGTCTCAGTCTGGTAAAAGGAAAATACCCTAGAGATCAAATATTTTTTTTACAATTAGTATGTCTACACATAGCTATGATGCATGGTTACGCTATTTCATCATGCTTGACAAACATGACAAATTACGAGAGTGATTTTAATTGCATTTGAAAAAAAGTATCGACATCTGATTAGTTTCAGATTCAATCTTCAACCTTGACTTAAATATCACCAAAATTTCTCGACCTCATCAAAAGCTTAAAATAGGCCTATTCTAGTTGCTCATCCCTACCTCTCACTACAAATGATAAGTATGATAAGTGCCCCACCCCCCACCCCCCACCCCCGATCTTTAGGGTAGGGTTTGGGCGGGGTTGAACGTTTTCTAGCTCTCACTATCAAAATAGCAGACGATGAAGAACAGAAGACTAAAAAAATCGAAAGGGAAATATATATATAAGAAGAATATAAAACTACTCTCAGACGATGAAAGCAATTATACATGTATGTTATCATATTTCAGCAATGCTTAATTTCTATGAATGATTTTAAAGGAGATATGAAGTATATAATAATACGTGATTAGTTTAGACAGCAACCCAATTAAACAACAAACAGAACAATTTACTTCTAAAATTCAATCTACGGTCTTCTACAATGAACATGTCATTACAATATTTTAAGTTTTTAATCCTCCCAAGTCTAGCTATGATATATAGAATAGTTGTGAATGCATGTAAAAAAAAATATCTTAATAGCAAACAATGAATATTACTTAAAACAATGAGGAGGGTCAAGAACAAACTTCTGGTAGTCTTTATAGGTATTTATTTTTATGTGTATTTAATTCTTCTATCTGTTTTGTCATGATCGTATATTTTTGTAATCTATATTTAGTATATATATTAATTATACATGTACCTATATGTTGTAAAACATTTGGTTAATAAAGAATTGAATAGTTGTTTTGAGGTTTATTGACCATTTATACTATATATATATATGCTATATGAGAGAAAGAGAAACAAAAGAAAATTATAAATTTCAAATACGAAAATACTGTTGGCATTTTAAAAGAACGGTCTCTCACAAAAGATTATGTCAATCCAGTATGTTAAGCTTTGAAGGATTAGTACGATATAAGGACCTTATTTGACACCCAACATGGAACGGTATACTGCTTCATAACGTGTTTGGTAAAATCCGCTGATTTATATGGTCTTATATGCAAGGCTATTCTGAATGAATTAATCTACAAAGCGAGAACACTTTCCACTTTCATCAGCTAAGAGGAAGCTAGCTTTTTTAGAAAAGCTATTACTTGTTTAGTATACTCATTCAGAAATACTGACCGGTATTACATAACTATTCATATCCAGTGGCGGATCCAGAGGGGGGCGTAGAGGGCGTACGCCCCCCCCCCCCCCCCCCCCTTTGCTTGCACTTTTTTTTTTTTTTGGTAAAATGATTATAAATCAGACTTGACTTCGTGAACTTTGCCATTTCCCGCGTATTTAATTTTTATGCGACAATTCTTTACTTATAAAGATATTTTTCTCTCGTATTTACTGTAATATATTATTGATTATGTCAAGGTCATGTGATTCGCTACGGTGGAGTTGACCAGTGCGTCGAAAAAACGTCACTCAGTCATTTTGAAATTCAAATTACAGTAACACATTGCTTAGGCTGAGGATGACAAGCATGACACCTTCAAAGCGAGTAAGGATCGAGCAAGAACGTATTGACATCTATTTCACAATTCCACCAAACAGAAAGTAATTCTCTATTACACTCTCAAGAAAAAAAAAAGTTCACAGCAATATTATTAACCTACGAAAACATGTTTAACCCCACACGCCCCAGCCCATTAATAACACTGCTGAATAATAATAATCCCCAGTCAGTAAGCTCTAGATAGATTTAAAATCTATGGTACGGATCATTTGATTTGAGGGGGCAGTCTGAGATATTTTAGAGAAAAAATTCTGACCCTGATTTTTTCCTTAAACAAAAATTCTGGTCGTATCTGGATTGAAAACAATAACGGTAATCTTGTCCACTTTTTTGCTATTAGAAACAAAGATTTTAAACAGAATTATTGAGCATTAAATGAACATGTTGAATGAAAAACGGTCGTAATTTTTTGGGGGGGCGGGGGTTTGCATGTTGTAAATCCCATATCTGACCGAATGTCTCTTTCTCCGAACTGATACGCTGAATACTTTTTTCAAGGCCCGACTTCAACCTGCCTGCTCGGTGTGGCCTTTATGTCTCCATTTGTCGACCGTCATTCACAACTTCGTTGTCATTTCAGACTCATTCGTAGCCTTTGGTTGATTTGGAACCCCTCACTTCCCTTGTTGGGTGAAACATTTCAACCAAACATTTGGATTAAAATTGCTAGTTTGTCTTTGTTCGTGTCTGTCGTATTGTAAATTTCATTGAATGGCCGTATATCTTGTTTTCAACAAGAAATCTGTGAGGTTATGCTAACTAACCTTACAACACACGAGACTTTTCCATGTCCATTTTTTACTGACAAATCCCACATTAAATATATTAGTACAGTACAGTAAGGGATATCGCATGATGATGTTTTGTCAGAAATAGGTAAAGTAATTAATATTGAGGATGTGCTATCAATTCAAATCACTGAAAAAGAATGTATAGTAACTCTAAAAAACCCTGAAACAAAAGACAGGCTGGCGGCTCAAGGCATAACGCTAAGAGACAGATCTATTAAATTTTATGAAGTAGAGAGTTTAATTACTCATGTAACAATAAAAGACGCACCTTACGAACTAGAAAACTTATACATTTGTACTCAGATGTTTAGATTTGGTAAAGTAGTTCCAGGCTGTATAAAACGAGGCGTCATCAAAGGCACAAACATCGAAAATGGGTCTCGGTATATTGATATTCTGGAATGTGATGCAGTGCTCCCGAATAGAACATCATTTGGTCGTTTTGAAGTAAGACTTTTTGCTGATAACAATCGCACTCCATGTATATACTGTCATATCACAGGTCATCCTTCATACAGATGTAAGGACAAACCAAGTCTCATGAATCAAAAGAGATGTTACAATTGTTGTGGTATAGGTCACGTAGCTAACGCTTGTACAAGTGAAGGATACTGCTCTTACTGTAACGTCAAAGGTCACGCCAGACGAGACTGTGAGCAGTACAAACAGGAAACAGAAAAAAAGGAATTGGGCAGTTATGGTCCTGAAATATTAGAGGGAAGACAAGACAATACAGAAAACATTCACACTGACGAAGATGACGAAGAATCCATCTCATCAGACAACGCAAATTGTGGAAGAGAGACAGTGTGTGTTCTCCTTGGAGCATCTAATTGTATTAGGCTAGGACCTATCAACGATTCGTTAGTAAACGCCTCAATATCTGGAGGATCCTTTGACAAAATTGAACAAAACATTGATCTAGCTTTTCAAAAAACTGAAAACAAAGATATTGAAAAGATTGTTATCTGTCTAGGCACAAATGACATAAGTAGAAATAAAAGTGACTCTGATCAAATAAACCTTCTTGTAACAAGCGTTGTCAATCGTGTGAAGTCTAGCTTTCCAGAGGCACAAATAGGCCTTTGCAATATAATACCGCGTAAAGGCAACGGCGCTCAATTTCAGAAAATAAATGAAACGACCAAAAATGTAAATAGTTTCATGAAAAAACTTTGTGTTCAAAACAATCTGTAGCATTTGTTGATATAAATGATCAATTTTATAAACACGGAGCTGTAATCAGAGCGTTGTTTGATAAAAATGACAGTAGCGGTGTACACATCAGCACAGAAGGCGCACAAAGAATTAACAGTAAACTTTGTGAGTTTCTTCAAAGCCCAAATACGATTTTAACCGTATCAAACACTCCGGTTGATCGCAAACGCAACAGGAGTGACAAAACTACTCCAACATCTGCAGACCGGACATCCAAAGTATCAAGAAAAGAGACATGCATAGATCATGATTAAACCATGTAAATAAACACTCAGACTATTTTAATCTGATTTTACTGTTAAAAACAAAATATTTACAAAAAAAAAACAAAAACAAAAACACAAATGTATCACTGTAAATATCATGTCCACTTTTTTAAACATATTTTTCGTATGTATATTTTATTTAGAAGTATTTCGTTTATATGCCTATATCTATATACTGCAAAAAGTGCAAAAATTGCTAAGATGTACCAAATTGTAATGTTATATATGGAGAACATGAATAAGTATCGGTTTATTAGACCTATTACGGTTTTAAAACGACGTTTAATAATTAAAGTTTTACCTGATTTGTTTACACACAGGTATACACATGAACGATCCGTTAAGTTTATTTTACCGAATAGACATAACCAGGTTCAAAGCATTCAAGTGAAACATTTAAATGACGAAAGAAAGGAAAAAAAACCTATTCGAACTTAATATGTCTTTGTCAATTGCTTCAATAAATGTAAATGGTTTACGAAACAATAAAAAACGAGATGTGATTTTTAATTGGTTGGTTTCAAAAAAGTTTGATATCATTTGTCTACAAGAAACACACTGTACGAAATCTGATATTGATAACTGGGGTAATGACTGGAAAAAATTTGGGGGAGGTGAATCCGTTTGGAATTGTGGAACTTCTGATTCAAGGGGAGTGGGATTCCTTTTGCAAAAGAAATTTTCCGAAAATGTAACTTTTATTAATCACGATGAAAACGGAAGATGTCAAATGTGTGACATAAAAAGAGATAATGCTGTATATCATATTGTTAATGTATATACACCGAACAACGGTTCCGATAGAAAGACTTTTTACGAAAATTTGCGTAATTTAAATAAAATGTATGACGATGATAGCGTTGAACACTACACCGTATTATTAGGAGACTTTAATTGTACTTTAGACAAAAAACTAGACAGAATGCCATCACATCAAAATAATGACGTCGGTACAACAGAATTAAAAAATCTTTTGTTGAGATATGAATTAGATGATGTATGGAGATCTCGATTTCCAGATACAAAACGTTATACGTTTCAGAGAGGAAACTCGAAGTCTCGTATTGATTTTATTTTCTGCAGCAAATCTTTGAATAGTAAAATATTTAACACTCGTATATCACATTTCCCGTTTAGTGATCACGAAATAGTTACATCAAAAATTAAGCTAGATGATATAGAAAGAGGGCCGGGTATGTGGATTATGAATTTAAATACAATTAAATCTGAACAGTTTTCAAATGCCTTTAAAGTCTTTTGGGAAGGATGGAAAAATAGTAAAGACAAATATAATGATATACAAGAATGGTGGGATATAGCCAAAAGTAAAATAAAATTTCTAACAATTGATGTTAGTAAAACACTAAATCGCTTATATAATAACAATCACATTAAACAACTAGAAAAACGACTTGAAGCATTAAAATTGGTAGAGGAAAAAACAAATATCATCAATTCTAGAATAACCGAAATTGAACGCGAAATTAAGGATATTTATACAAATTTGACAGAATCTGCGAAAATTAGAGCAAAAATTAAATGGGCAGAGGAAGGTGAAAAATCTACGAAGTATTTTTTTAATTTAGAAAAGAAAAATGGTCAAAACAAATTGTGGAATCGTATAAAAACAAAAACGGGTGAGTATAAATATGATATTGATTCGATATTAAAAGAACAAGTACAATTTTATTCCACACTTTTTACTTCTGAAGGGTGGGACAAACAGTGCGGTGAAAAGCTTTGCCAATTTATTGAAAATAAGGTAAGTTCCGACGATAAGGAGATGCTTGAAAGTAAAATAAATATGGAAGAATTAGAAAAAGTGCTCAAAGATCTAAAGACTAACAAATCGCCAGGTGAGGATGGCATTATATCTGAATTTTACATTTTTTATTGGGATATAATAAAATATGATTTTTTTACACTCCTTCAAGAAATATTTGATAAAAATGCCTTAAGTAAATCACAACATAAAGGGGTTCTTACGTTATTACATAAGGGTGGTGAAAGAGAAAATATTAAAAACTGGAGACCTCTTACATTACTTAACACCGATTATAAAATCATAGCAAAACTTCTTGCAATGAGATTGAAAAAAGTCTTACCAAAAATAATACATCCAGATCAAAAAGGATTTGTTAAAGGAAGAAATATTAGTGATGCTAACAGATTAATTCAAGATATAATAGACTATATTGACAACGAAGACGAAGATGGAATAATAATATTTCTTGATCAACAAAAAGCCTTTGATAGAGTTGAATGGGATTGGGTGGATTTTGTATTAGAAAAGTTTATTTTGGGGAAAAATTTAGACAATGGATCAAAATGTTACTTTATGATGCTATACCATGTATAAAAACAAATGGACATGTTTCAAAATATTTTTCGATAACTCGTTCGGCCAGACAGGGCTGTCCAATAGCACCCCTTATATACATTTTGCAAGCAGAACCAATGGCATGTGCAATACGAGGTAACAAGGAAATTGAAGGGATTAAGATACCTGGTGAGGGGGGTAAAAGTATAGAAACTAAATTATGCATGTTTGCTGACGACACTCAGCTTTTAAACAAAAATGAAAAATCAGTAGAAAAATCTTTTGATGTCCTAACGCTATATGAAAAAGCTTCGGGATCTAAAATTAATTATGATAAAACCAAAGGTTTACTTATAGGATCTCTTAGAAGGAAAAAACTAAAATTTAATAAAATTAAATGGATTACAGGTAATGTAAAAACCCTCGGAGTAAATCACGGATATGAAATTGATAATGATGCTATATGGCAAAGCATTATAGAAAAGATTAAAAACTGTGTCCACGTGTGGAAAAGCAGGAAACTTTCATTTAGTGGTAAAACCTTAATAGTAAAAAATTTCATATTGCCCATGTGCAGTTATGAAATTGAAATGCGGGGAATTCTTGAAAAATATTCAAAAGAAATAAACAATATTATTTGGAATTTTATATGGGATGGGAAAGTTAACCAAATAGAAAGACAGGTTTGTTGTCTTGATATAACAAAGGGTGGAATGGGCATGATTAGTATAGAATTATTCATTAGAAGTAAGCAAATAAAGTCTCTTTATCGCATTCTTCATGAACCATTAGAAAGCTGGAATGCGATTGGCAAGTATTGGCTTCGATAATTTGACAATAAGTATAATGATCAATATTTTTTATGTAAATGTTCAAATATTAATGGACTAAATCTTAAAAATATTCCTTTATTTTATCAGAAAATGGTCTATACATGGTCTAATTTTCTAAAAATTGGAGATAATCCCAAAACAAAGCACGAGGTACTTAATATGAGACTATTTGGTAATTCAAAAATTTTATTCCAAAATAAGCCATTGTTTTTTTCTTCCTTTCTAAAAAGTAACATGAAATATATCAAAGACATATGGAATGAAGAAACCAACGAATTTTACAGTTGTTGTTCTATATTTGAAAAACTTGTGGATAAAAGAAACTGTATATCGGAATTTTCAAGAGTTAAAAGTTCAATACCAATCGACTTCTTACAAATTTTAGAAATTGATAATGAAATTAATGTAAAAACAAACATAGAATTGAAACTTTCTGATGAAATGTTCATATTAGATAGAAATGACAAAAAAATCAAACCTAAAGAATTGAAACTCAAATATATTCGAGACACGATTAATCAGAAAATATATCCAAAATGTCAAAACAAATGGCAAGAAATTTTTGGGCACGAAATTAATTGGAAAATAGTATGGGACAATCTGAAAAAAGTTAATATCACCAATAAAATAAAAGAATTTCAATGGAAATGCATTCACAATATCATATATACGGAAAGTAGACTTTAAAAAATGCAATTGTCAAACGGAAAATGTCATATTTACCAAACGGTCAATAATACTGAAAATTTGCAACATTTATTTTTCGATTGCAATACAACCAAAATAATCATTAGTAAAATCAAAGATATTTTCACATTTTGGAATGTTCAATTAGATGATGAAAATTTAAAACATTCTATGCTTTTGGGAGATAGCAGTGGTCAATCGAACCACACTTTACTTGTAAATCTCTTTTTTATTTTGACAAAATGGTCCTTGTGGAAAATAAGAAACAAAATCAAATATGATGGGATAAAAATGTCATCTACAGATATTTTGAATCTTTGGAAATCATACATGATAACCCATCTGAAATATGTACCCTGTTATTTATCTAATAATACAATAGACAAAGAAAAAATAAACACATTAATTAATTTTATATGATGTTACAAACCTTGTAGGAGATAACAGTCACGATGTTATGTGGTCTGCCTTTTATGTCTCTTTAATTTGTATTAGGTAATCCATGGTTTAGAGGTGCACTCGATTATGTTATAATGTTATATTATTTATTACTAGTATTACATTCTAGAAAGATGTTCTTTTTCATTCATTGTCATATAATAGAATAATAAGTATTATTATGCATGTACTACTTTTTCTGGTAATACAGTGCACTTTTTTCAGCCTCCTGCTTCCCGGACAGTTGGTTTTAAATGTAAACGGGAATCCCCAGTTTGCATCCTGGGCAACTGAGGAAAATGTAAACAGGAATTTTTTTGGAATAAACAAGTATCTATTTAAAAAAAAAAAAAAAAAAAAAAAAATATATATATTAGTACATAGCTTTGGAACCATCCAATCATTTTATAATAGACAATTAATAGGGAAAATACGGCATCAAAAATGTCCAACCCTTACACTTTAACTATAAAATATACATGCCCCGCGTCAGGAACCGTTAAAAAAGTGCATTTTACACTTATTTTATGTTTTTTAGCCAAAAATAGGTCCAAAAAAATGTTCTCCTCGCTCCGCTCGGCAAACTTTACATACTCCGCCCCCCTTTCCAAAATCCTGGATCCGCCCCTGATATCAAAGCTTACTGATAAAAGAAACCTATAAATAGAATTATATCTGATCATGTTGACACTTGAAATATTATTAGTCATTGCACAAATATTTACCGACGCAGGTATACTTACCGTTACATTATGGGTTCCTAACCCAATAACAGGATACTTCGTTCCATTTGGTAAAACAGCAAACTCTGCAATGTCTGAACTCATTGTATGTTCTACTTGCACCCAAATCTTTCTTAGTTTAGTCAGATTTAATCTGAGAGTCAGATTAGTATTCCTAACATGTGTCGACCTAAATATTTACATCTTAGCGGTGTTTGCATTTGAAAAAGTTTTGTACGCGGTTTAATTTGTACTGGTTTGGCTTTACTTTTCTTTTGGTCAACGTTTGTATTGGGTTTGAGACTTTTGTATATTTGGTAACGAGCATCACTGAAGAAACATTAGTTGTCGAAATGCGCATCTGATGCAATAAAATTAGTAACGTTAATGTTATTTAAAGATGTTGAATATAACTAATATAAAAATAAGGAGATGAGGTATGATTGCCAATGAGACAAGTATCCACCAAAGTTCAAATAAAGTGGATGTAAGCAATTATAGGCAACCGTACGGCCTTCAGCAACGATAAAAACCCACACCATATAGTCGGCTATAAAAGGCCCCGACATGAAAAATATGAAACAATTCAATTGAGAAAACTAACGGCCTAATTTATAACAAAACAATTAACGAAAAACAAATATGACAGACATGAACCAACGACAACCACTGAACTACAGGCTCCTGACTTGGGACAGGCAAATAAAGAATGTGGCGGGGTTGAACATGTTTGTAAGCGCTCAACCCTCCCCCTAACCTGGGACAGTGGTGTAACAGCACAACATAAGAACAAACTATAAAAATCAGTTGAAAAAGGCTTTAACTCATCAGATCGATACAAAACATCAAACATAAACACAGACTGGACGTGGCAGCGTCTAAGGCAGGTTTAAATCGTTTTAACTACATTTGATAGTTATATGAAAAATGGTCTCAAACTTTGAACTAGCTTTCAGTAACTGCGAGTACTCTAAAATTTGTACTTTGCGTCTTTTTTGTTGTTGTTGGGGATGTATAAATACCTTGCCATGTCCGGTCTGTGATAGTTGTTTTTCTGCGATGTACGGATCTGATGAGTTAAGCCCTTTTCAAATGATTTTATAGTGTGCTCTTATGTTGTACTGTTACACCACTGTCACAGGTTAGAGGGAGGGTTTGGCGCCAGCAAACACGTTTAACCTCGCTACATTCTGTATGTGCCTGTCCCAAGTCAGGAGCTTGTAATACAGTGGTCGTCGTTTGTTGCTGTTTATCATATTTGTTTTTCGTTTATTGTTTTGTACTTAAATCAGACCGTTAGTTTTCTCTTTTGAATTGTTTTACATTTGTCATTTCGGGGCCTTTTATAGCTTACTATGCGGTATTGGTTTTTCTCATTGTTGAAGGCCGTACTGTGACCTATAGTTGTTAACATCTATGTCATTTGGTCTCTGGTGGAGAGTTGTCTCCTTAGCAATCATACCACATCTTCTTATTTTCATATATCAATCAGAACTGATACCGACGTAGTTTGAAGCAGCAGAGGCCCAAGTACTTCAAGCATGGAAGCAAAAACAATCGGATTTGCTTAAAATTCCAATGTAAAATGTCCATGGGCATCAGCAGGTTTGGGATTTTCTGCTTTGCATGCATCACAAAGCTAGATATCTTAGGAATCAGTAGAAAAGTTCGGTTTCTGTCACCTTTCTGTTATCTGGATAACAAATATATTTGTTTAACGAATTTGGATTTATAATGTTATTGAAGAAGATGATGATCTGCTTGCGATTTAAAAACGAAATGAAGCCAAAGATGCATGTACTAGAAAATGTCCTCCTTATTCGAAATATATTTGTTTTATACCGTATATACAGAAGGTTTAATAGAAATGTTTTAAGTCGTCAACACATTCTAATGATTCTTACTGTTTCCTTGTAATATAAAAGAAGGTTCGTGTGGGTTGTAGAACTCTTTTTTCGGACAATTTTGGTATTGCTAAAAACTCAATATACCAGACTTATAAGTAAGCACGCCATGCATACATTTCATCTACATAAAATATATCAGTAGCGCTAGGATACAAACAGTTGGAAGACCAAATCAATGACGAAGTAAAATGTATAATGAAGTTCTGGAGTCGGTTTCATAAAAAAACTTACGACCAAGATTGGTCGTAAGTATACTGAATTGTTCATGACTTACGATCAATCTTAGTCGTAAGTTTATTTGTGAAACCGACTCCAGCACTGCCAATGAAATTTATATCAACAAATCAGATTGATTTTTAAGCATTGGCAAGACTTAATTTCAAAGTTTCTCTGGTCACAAGTGATTAGACAATATATTACTTATGTTGATTTTTAAGGAAAGTCTAGGGTCTTTTGTACTGAAAAGTACAGGGCTGTACAATATTTTAAAAGGAGTGAGAAGACACCAATCAAATACCATAAGTATAATTGAAACAAACAACATCGTGGCAACAACAAAAAAACGGCGTAAAGACAAAACAAGTCAAAAACACGTACCCCAAAAACATTTCTGCTCTACTGATGACACCCGCCGTGTTTCTCCTGTTAAATACTTTATTGAGTAATATATGGTGAAACGCCATCACACAATATCGGAAAGGTCAATGTTTCTTATCTTACCGTTAGACAAAATGCATAAACTCTCGGTCATGTTAATTCTCTTACGCCACTACTTGACCGAACGAGAAAGTTTGAAATGTTAACACGGTTTTTCAGAATCAAGAACGGACAAGACTGTTGCTTGTAAAAACTACATGGACGTTGACAATCAGAATAGTACGAAATACAACACTGAAAATGAAGCAAAAGCAACAAAAATCCATCAAAAACCAAAAGAAGGTGACACAGGTATTCCATAAATGTAAACCAAATCATAATGGCGTTAGTAAAACTTTCGAGAGAAACAAAATCATCAAAGATACCAGCCTTATTATTTGAACGCCAAACACGTGTTTCGTCTACAAAAGACTCATCAGTGACGCTCGAATCAAAAATATTAAAAGGTCAAATTCGAAGTGATAATTGGTTCAAAAGCTTTCTTTTATCAAGGAAAGCCCACTTTTTTCTTTGAAATCGTAAGTTTACGTTTACGTTTACGATCACCTTTTATCAAAGAAATGGTGATGGGAAACGCTAGTCCTTAAACATTTTTATCAACTGGGAGATATATACTCTACATACAGGCGATGCTGTAATGTTGCGACATAGAATGGACAGTTTATAATGGCAAAATAAAAACAAAACTCTCTTTTGTTCTAAACATTAGTTTCCAACCGTGGTCAATTCTCGAGAAAGGTGAAGATATGAAGCAGTATCTACTGAAATCTTTATTTCAACGGCAGATAGTATGAATGCTTCTAAAATAGTCACCAAAATTTGAATTATTCAGTGGAAGAATATCATCTATATAGCGAAACGTATTTAATGCCCGCATCTTATTTGAAAAGCTCCTGTAGGAAGTCTGCCTCATAAGTATAAAGGATATATTCGGCAAGAAGAGGATCATGGTGCAGTGTGTTCCCTTAGAAATGTCGATTGCATGTTGAAGAACACGCTCTCCAAACGATAGAGATATGTTGTCAATAAAACAAGAGTGCACATGCTGAAATGTCTTGCCTGCTTTACTGACCATTGATTTTATGTTGATAGTCCTAAATATAAAGCTTTACTACAAGTTTCACATAAACCTAACATGATCCAAGAAAATGAGATCAAGGTTAGATAAACCAAACGGAAATTCATGTACACCTTATATAATTACAATCATTCCATACACAAAATATAGTTGACCTATTGCTTATAGTTTCTAAGAAACAAACTTAACCAGGAAAACTTAACATTGACCAATGAACCATGAAAATGAGGTCAAGGTCAGATGAACCATGCCAGACAGACATGTACATCTTACAATCAATCTATGCTATAAATATAGTTGACCTATTGCTTATAGTATCTAAGAAACAAACTTAACCAGGAAAACTTAATATTGACCAATGAACCATGAAAATGAGATCAAGGTCAGATGATACCTGCCAGACAGACATATACACCTTACAATCATTCCATACACCAAATATAGTGGACCTATTGCTTATAGTTTAAGAAAAATAGACCAAAACACAAAAACTTAACACTGAGCAATGAACCGTAAAAATAAGGTCAAGGTCAAATAAAACCTGCCAAACTGACATGTACATCGTAAAATATTTCCATACACCATTTATAGTTTACCTATTGCATATAGTATTAGATAAAAAGGCCAAAACACCAAAAACTTAACTTCAACCACTGAACCATGAAAAATGAGGTCAAGGTCAGATGACACATGGCAGTTGGACATGTACACCTTACAATCATTCCATACACCAAATATATTAGACCTATTGCTTATAGTATCTGATATATGGACTTGACCACGAAAACTTAACCAAGTTCACTGATCTATTAAATGAGGTCGATGTCAGATGAAAACTGTCTGACAGGCATGAGGACCATGAAGGTACGCATATACTAAATATAGTTATCCTATTACTCATGATAAAGAGTGAAACTAACATTACAAAAAATCTTAACCCTTTTTTCAAGTAGTCACTGAACCATGAAAATGAGGTCAAGGAAAATTAACATATGACAGACGGAAACTTCATAACATAAGGCATCTATATACAAAGTATGAAGCATCCAGGTCTTCCACCTTCTAAAATATAAAGCTTTTAAGTAGTTAGTTAACGACGCCGCCGCCGGATCACTATCCCTATGTTGAGCTTTCTGCAACAGAAGTCGCAAGCTCGACAAAAAATCTTGATGATGTCAGTTTCAGATAACCTTTTTTTCTAAATCAAAGTGTTTTCTTTAAATTATGATTCTATCTTATTTGGCCATTCTTTTTTATGAAACAAAGTTGGACTAATTCTTTCAAAATTTCTTTAAGTTTAGAATTGATGATTACTTGTGTAAAGAGTAGAGAAGTCAATTTTTGTTTATACAAATGCACGAGGAAAGGGACTCAGGTTGTAAATCTAACAATTCTTTGGACTGTTTGAGTATCCAAACCTGAATCACACCGCCCGTAGTGCAGTTAGTTTCACAGTAACTCTGAAGTAATTTAACTTTTAACTTATGTAAGGATGTTAATTATTCGTTTAACATTGGCATTTACAGCGATATTGTTGAATTAAATACAATTTTAGTAATAACAAATGCAAAATGTGTTTCTTTTACTGTATGGACTTTAACTTCACATTCCGCTACATAGATGATGTTCTTTCACTGAATAATTAAAAGTTTGGTGACTATTTTAGAGGCATTTATACCACTGAAGTTGAAACCAAGGATACAACAGATACAGTTGAGTCTGCTTCATATCTTCACCTTTATCGAGAATTGACAACGGTTGATAGACTTTATGATGGCCTGTACGTAGAAGGTCTTCACTTTCGCGACTTTTTTTGGTATTCCCTTTCGCGACTTTTTTGGTATTCAGTGGATATTTATGTCATTGTCAAACATACAACATCTATTTACATACTAACATAACAATAAAATCACCCATCGACAAGCCAATATATATAATAAGCGTAATTGATTTATTTTTACAAAAACATCTTAAACTAGTAAATAAAAAGTTAAGTTCAATGTGATCACGTGTTCAAAACTCGTCGTGGAATGCGTAGTACTTGTGATCTTTGGCACTAAAATATAGAAAACATGTAAATCTTTAATACTTGTTTAATAAAAATTGTTAGCTTAAAAATGTACTAGGAGCATTGTTTTAATGCAAACTAATTGTACTTACTTGTACGTTTTAATAGATTTGCAACATTTGGTCTAAAATATTCCATTTTTCAAAAATACCATTATAAATAAATTACATGCACCATTCAAAATTGATTTATTTGTTCGAAATACATCACACATCACAGGAAAACTTTATTTTGGGCAATGTGTGAAGTTGCTTTTGTGAAAAAATCCGAAACATGTAATTTTACCAAAACTATCATAATAGAAAAATGTTATTTTACTAAAACTTTATTTAAGCTTTAACTCCCATGGGTAACGTTAGTCTTAGTTCTTGCTCTGTCATCTTGTTTTGATGCTCAAAAGTTGTATGAATCTGTCTTTCCATACTTTAGATATGGAGTGTATTCAATGGAGATTATTATAGAAACAAGCGTCGTGCGCACGGTAAATTCTATTATATATCTTTATTATCATCAAATCAAATAATATTTAGTCTCTCCAGTAAAGACAACTTATACACACATGTGTTATATTCAGAGGAAGATAATTGAATAGGATATAACTACATATAATAGAAGTACTAAAGTATACAATATGGCACTTCCGTGTGCATATCAACAAGTTATTACAACTTTTTGATTATTACAACCAAACAAATTAAAACAAAGTACGAATGACCCTTTTACTTTTTATTACCTTACCCAGAGCGCATAACCGATGGCCGATATTGCGGTTGTATGTGTGTGCATGTGACTGCTTGGATTGATAGTTTGGTGTTCGCGGGCTTTTCGTCACCTCCTCGTTTTCTATTCTTAGGTTTCGTTCAAGTATTTTTTTATTGTACATTTTAGAATTTTGTCCACGTATGAGGTAATTTGTTAGAACTTCTTGTTATATCAAAAAAATAAAAATGTATCATGAATAAATATGATCTATTTGCTACATGTATCCTCATACATTTTTCTATTTATAAATGTAATATTCCTATTTACAATATTCCTATTTACCGTTGGCAATTTAGATCGACGAATTAACCACTTTAATATCATAATCTAGAAATGTACCTTCAAAGTCTTTTTTGGAGACCTTTTCGTCAAATTTATGTTTGCATTTATGTTAGCTTCGACTTATCATGATGCAGAAAATTCTTTCAGTAATACATGTACATATACCCTTAGGAAATGTAGTCCATTATAATGGTAATGAACTCATAAGCAACACAAAACTCACATAGGTTCACCATAAAAACGTAGATTTTTGTTCAATGACCATATTTTCTGCATTTCTTCATCCGTAAGACTGAAACTAAATACCTGCAAAATTCGTAATAAGAAATGTTAATTCATTATTTGCTTTTTATCATTTAAACATCTGATCTGTTACTGACAAAACCATTAAACTTTCTTAGTACTCAGTTTGCATGTAACTATTCTATAGCTTGTTTTTAATTTTTCCGTCTCATTTTAGAAACATAAATTAATTGTTTTGTGTAATCAGACGGACTTCAATATATCAATAAACAGTTGGCACCCTTTAATAGATTATAGTTTGCCTACAGTCATGGATAAATCTAAGAGGGGCGTTAAGATGGGGTGTCATCCCAAATTCCCGAAAAAAATAAAACATTCTTTCCCGTATGCCGAAGAATTAATCATTAATTCCCGAATCCCTATAAGTAAGTGTAAATACCGAATTCCCGCGAAATAAAGGCCCAAATCCCGAATTCCCGCAAAAATAAAGGCCCAATCCGGGCGTACCGAAAAAGGTCCTTCTGCCCCTCATTTCAAGCCCCCCTCTACTTGTTAAAGAACAACAAGAACATACATATATATATATATATATATATGTGTACTTGATATTTAACAGAATACCTTTCATTGGTCGTGAAACTTTTCCTTGATTTTCTTTTTTAATAATTCATTTTCAATGTTTGAATTCAGATTTTGAGTCCTCGAATTTTTTTAAGTTTCAAATTTAGATTCGCGTTGTGAAATAGTGTCTCGTGGGACAATAAAGGTGCTTTTCCCTCATAGCCAGTAGATAAGTGTATACTATGGATCAGAATTTTATATTATAGTAAATGTACTAAAATGTAATACTTACATCAAAGTTTTCCTTAATTCTACTAGGTGTGACAGATTTTGGTATAACAACCAAATTTCTTTGAAGATGAAATCGTAGTACGACCTAAAATTACATAATCAATATACTATCGGACAGGTTGTAGGGCAATGGTTTATAGAAGAGCAAAGTATATATATATATCCTAAATTGAGGTAAATTATATGGCCTTCCAAATACCGTTTCGATTCCTAACATCACTGAAGAGACATTAATTGTCGAAATCCGGATATGGTGTACAAATTTTTGCACCTCATGTTTGCGGTATACCATCTTTTCCGCAGGTTTATTGTTTTCTGTTTGGTATTAAATTAATAATAAAGATCCATTTTGTTACATCTTGTGATCCGTTTATTTGGCAATCGCCAATGGCAGTCAGCAGGGTTTAAGAACATTCGTTGTTCGACCTGTTAGTCAAATGCGTTTTGTTAAAATATACTTTTTCACTTTTTTGGTCTTTTGGAAAATGTAATCAATATACTATCGGACAGGTTGTAGGGCAATGGTTTATAGAAGAGCAAAGTATATATATATCCTAAATTGAGGTAAATTATATGGCCTTCCAAATACCGTTTCGATTCCTAACATCACCGAAGAGACATTAATTGTCGAAATCCGGATATGGTGTACAAATTTTTGCACCTCATGTTTGCGGTATACCATCTTTTCCGCAGGTTTATTGTTTTCTGTTTGGTATTAAATTAATAATAAAGATCCATTTTGTTACATCTTGTGATCCGTTTATTTGGCAATCGCCAATGGCAGTCAGCAGGGTTTAAGAACATTCGTTGTTCGACCTGTTAGTCAAATGCGTTTTGTTAAAATATACTTTTTCACTTTCTTGGTCTTTTGAAAAATGCTGTTTGTGCTATATTTAGACCCCTCTACCAAGCAATTTGTTTTGCATGCACACGTATAAAAATTGCGGTTTTTATCCAACGCAATCCTAGGTTTGAACGTTGTTTTCAATTTAGACTTGTTTATATATATTTATATATATGTGTTGTGTACAAGTTATCATTTTGTACAAATTATAATTTGTATTTTGACTTTGTACAAATTGTAATTTGTACAAAAAGTGCTTGTACAAAATTTGACTAAAATTCACTTATAACTTGTGATTTTGTGATAAAAAAGTATTGATACACACTAGAAACTTTTCAATGCAATTTTTCAAGTCATATTGATTCATGTATATTGCCTTGAGGTTATAAATTAAACTCCTGTTCACTGGTCTTTATATCTTTATTCTTATAAAGCCAATGCATTACATCGATACAGATATAAACTGGTCTTTCAAATGGTCATTTGCAAAATTAAAAATTAAAGTGTTCACTAAAATGGCTAGTACTGTTGATCAACAGGATAAATTCTATCAAGAAGTTCAGCAATTGTGTCTGAAGGTTTGCGCTTTGTGGATCAACTTGTACAACTATTAAAGTTGTATCAGAGGAAGTCGAAAACGGGCATTGTCTGGCCAACAAATTCAAGCGGATGTCCTAACAAGAAATACAAAACAGAAACTGAGCAAGTTATCTATTGGAGACAATGTCCCAATTCCACAGTATGACTGAGCACCGAACGATCCGAGGAATATACAAGGTGTTGTTGTGGAAGTAGGAAATGTTGGATATTGTGTAGGGACAATAGCTGGTAATATATCAGGAGTCTTAAGCAGAAACCAACTAGAATCAATTAATGACACTTTTTTTGTCTGTTACACAATTTCTTGATTTACAACTTTCCCTGAGGGAAGCTGTCAAAAAAATTTCAAAAACTGGTGGACAGGGTTATCTCTCTTGCAAATTAAGGCGATTGTAACAATTCGAATTTTAAATGCAAAAAGCAGAATATATTGTGTAATTCGAGGTGTCATGGTTCGCACTTCTGTTCCAACAAATAAGAGCATTGTATATTATGTATAGTATTGTAAATGGATTTATCAGTGGGTTTCATATTGATTCATAATTGAAATTAAAATTATTTTTTATCATTTGATTTGAAACATATTCTATGTAAAATATTGTACAAGTTATAAGTGAAATTAAGCCTTATTTTGTACAAATTATTATGTTTACAGGCACTTTTTGTACAAATAACAATTTGTACAAAGTCAAAATACAAATAATAATTTGTACAATTTTTTTGTACAAATTATAATTTGTACAAAATTATAACTTGTACACAAAATATATATCACTACTAGTGTTTCAGTTTGCAAATTGCAAATTGCAGTACCTTGTAGGAGAGTTATATCGACATTGTGCATCGAACAAATTGCACGTACAGTTATGAAACTTCTTTCGCAGGAGGTCGGAGATATTCATGTTTTACAGTAGTTACTGTGACGATGCATGTAAACAGTTTACTGACAATGCTATCAAATAAGAAACGAGAGGAAGTGCAATAATTTTACTGATACAAGTACGTAAGTCTTAATATCAAGAGACAAACACGTATGTAATCGGAACCATGAGAGAAACACGCTACATAAGTAAATGAGTGTGCAGCTTCATTTAAACAAATAAGTTAATAAGATGCATATTATTGAATGCACATGCAGAACGATTGTAATGTCATGTGATACCCTGATTTGTACTACTACTACACTGTTACACATTTTTTGCAGTCTGCTCTAAAGTGCCTTTGCTTAACGAAGGGGAAGATTAAAGTATGTTTATAGTCTTTGATATGACTTAACGGAGGAGCAGGTAAAAGTATGTTTATAGTCATTGATATGACTTAATGGAGGAGCAGGTAAAAGTGCTAAAAATGAGGTGGTTTCCTCGGTTGATCTTGACCTGAGATTGGTTTAATGAATATGACTTTTTAACAATTTCGTTCGTCAAAAAACTATTCTGGATTTACCTTCATCAGAAACGCCCTAGCCCAAACATTTTGAAAACCAAGGATATATAAGACCTAACATGTCACAGTGATGTTATTTATGACCAAAAGGGACATAAAAATAGTCAAATTCGTCAAAGTTCAACTTTGCCTGACGGAGTTAGAACTTTGTTTCCTAATAACTTCTAAATTAATCAACGCAGAATTTAAGAAAATTTTATTAAAAATCATATCACCACGGAAGCACAGACTGCGGAGTTGATGATACCCTCAGGGACTAACAGTCCACCAGCAAAGTGTTATTTTCATTCATTATACCATAAACTTCATGTAAATATATTATGAAATTGTTCTAAACGGGTTTGACTGTTCTGTTTTGGCCTTTTAAATTGCTTTATGTTCAAATTTATACTTTTGGCTTTCTACCCAATGTTTGGTCTCGGACGTAGCTGTTAAAACATATACTAGTAACACATATATCGTGTCCACAGAAATAGGCACCATTACGTGTTTATCCATGGGATCACTAATATCCCACATCTCCTCTTCCCATTTACTGTGAAATGGAATTATTGCGATGTTTTTATTAATGCGAAAAATGCGACACTATCAGGTTCGCAATATTAAGAACTCGCATTTAAAATTTCAGTAGTGATTTTCCTTCAAAAAATGTTTGCATTCGCATTAATTAGATTTCGCATTTTGCAAAAGATTCGCAATAAAATATGCACGCATTAATTTCTGAATTTACAGTACATTAGATTATTCACGAAGCTTACTTGTGTAATAGATTTTCCTTTTGCTTTTGAAATTTCTTGCAAAACTGGTTCATCAAATATGAGTGGTTCACCTGCATTTTTCCTGAAACGAAAATTATTGTTGAACTGAAAAGGAGAAATTAAAAAAAAAAAAAAGGAAAATTCTAAAAACCATTCAAAAGTATGTTACATTTACTGATTCACTAATGAATCCCTTTAATTATAAAAGAAGCTAGAGCATTTCACTTCACATTCCGGTATACTTACAATGTCCTCGCTATGAATAATCCATATTTTTTTACTCGATTTCCGCCGGAGTTGTAGATTAAACAAACTACAAGAAATCCTTCTGCTGCCTCATTTTAAGACATTCACTTGTGACTTATCACCGAATTCTAGTTGCAATGAAAAACATGGCGGTTGCCACTAGTGGAGCAAGAACTGATTATCCTTCCGGTGAACCTGAGTACACCCTTTTTTGGTTGAGTTCATGTTGCTTTATCTTTTTTTTTCTCTGTATTTTTTTCACTGCTGTTTGTCTTTTTGTCTTTTTCCTGTAGTGCAAGTATTTCTCAGACTAATGGTTTTTGATAGACCAGATAGTAGGCCATGCTGAAGTTAATTATGAAGTCAGATGATTGAGGATAGTGAATGTAGAGTGGTTTTGTTTTAGACGAGGACGTCTTTTCCTTCAGACCGGGGGAAGACAGTTTATGTAGATGTTTTGAAACATTTGATGTCATGGAAGACATTCTCTCAGGAGGGGGAGAATGTGGTAGAGACGATTTCCATTGATTTTATTATTTTAATCACTTCTCTTTATAGTTTATCATTATTACTTATTGATCAGTTTATCTATGTATTATTTAATCATTAGAGTATTTAGTATTAATCAGCTGTGCTTGACCGCACATTGGTAACTGTTTCTACCTGTGCAATTTATATATCATTAATTAGAAAGCTTAGGTGAATTTCTCTGTGGTCAGAATTATCTGTGTTCTCATTGGTTAATTGGGACATACCCCCAGATTTGAAATGGGTATTGTTTGAGAAAAATGGAGAATTTATATTTACTCTAGTTTACGCTATATCTATATGGTTTGGAACTAAATGATATTTCATTGATAGTCATTTGCAGTATTTTGGACATATGGAATTTAGTATATTCACTTTATAAGGTAAGAATGCACTTTATTTACTTTGAGGTGTATGAGAGACGAATGAATTGTATGGAACGCTTTAAGCCCTATTTGGTAGGTATGACCCTATGTCCCTATATTATGTAAATGTGTGCAAAAGAGTTGATTCAGAGTATGATTCATATGAAAGCGTAGTTTGCAAGTAGGGAGATAGATTTTTGAATGATTCTGAGAGTGACCTTTGACCTTTATGTCATGAGTCTTATACGTCACATTGCTTTATACTGATACTACGTCATAGCCAGTAATTTTAATATATGAT